GTTGAAATGATGGGGTCCTCAAAGGATCAGGATGGTTATTAGAGTATTAAGGTAGCTAGGGGTAAAAATATCATATGAGGACAACTCTGTGTGTGTTTGTTTCTTGTTGTTCGTTTTTTATCAGTGTTTTTTTTTGTGTGTGTTTTTTGTTTTTGTGTGTTTTTGAGTGTTAATGAGCCTGTTTCTGTGTCCAGGTGGGAGTTTAAGGGCGTGCCGTTGGCCGAGGACGAGCAGCGCTACTTCCTGGTGGGCCCGCTGCTGGTGCTGCCGCGGGTGCGCGCGCAGGACGCGGGCCGCTACTCGTGCGTCGCCTCCAACGTGGCCGGGTCGGCGCGCCTCGACGCCACCCTGGTCGTGACGACGCCGCTGTCGGCCAGGGTGTCGCCCGCGCAGGTGACGGCCGCCCTGGGCCAGGCCGCCGTCTTCACCTGCTCGCCGGCCGGCAGCCCCGTCACGCACGTGTACTGGACCAAGGACGGCCAGGTGAGAAAGGAAATGAGTAGGAATTTATATGTCGTATTATTAATCTACCACAGTAACTATCGTGATCTAAACTAGCATAATCATAAGATTATTAGAATCCTAAAACTATTGTATTCAATCTTAAAACCGTATCTTTAAAAGGGCATCATAATCTTTTACAAACTCCCATAATTTTAAATCTGTAATATTCTGTCATAATCTTAAAAAACCATACCACATTTTTTAAAAAATTTATCATAATCTTTCAAGTGTCATAATCTAATCACTACACTATCATAATCTGAAAACATAAATCACTATCCTACTCAACATCATCCACAGAATTTGAATTTCGATAAGAAATTTCTAACCGAATGTTGTTGCAGCCACCGTCCGCGCGCGTGGTCCCGGAGGCCGGCCAGGTGGGCAGCCCCGTGCTGAGGATCGCGTCGGTGAGCCGCGAGGACCAGGGCGTCTACCAGTGCTTCGTGAAGAACGACGTCGACAGCGTGCACGCCTCGGCAGAGCTGCGCCTGGGAGGTGAGCAGAGCAGATGATGAGGGGAGGGGAGAGGTCGGCGAGGGGGCG